GTCAGTGGGCCTTAGGAAGCGTTACTACGAACAAAGTTACTCCAGGTGATGGAATTGCAGCTGGGCTATTTAAAACCCTAAAAGATGATGCTGTTAAAATGCTGCACTCAATATGTCAGCAAATTTGGAAAACTCCCTGGTGGCTCAGATGGTAAAGAATCTGCCTGCAATGTAGGAAACCTGGGTTCAATTCCTGGGTCAGGAAGATCCCCTGGAGAAGGGAATGGCTACCCACTCCAGTATTCTTGCCTGGAGGATTCCATGGACAGAGGAGCCTGGCAGACTACAGTCCATGGAGTTGCAAAGAGTTGGACATGACTGAGTGACACTTTCACTTTCAGCAGCGGCCACAGGACTGGAAAAGGTCAGTTTTCATTCCAATTCTAAAGAAAAAAAATGCCAAAGAATGTTTAAACTATCACACAGCTGTGTACATTTCTCATGGTAGCTAGGTTATGCTCAAAATCCTTCAAGCTAAGTTTCAGCAGTATGTGAACCAGGAACTTCCAGATGTTCAAGCTGGGTTTAGAAAAGGCAGAGGAACCAGAGATCAAATTGCCAACATTCATTGGATCATGGAGAAAGCAAGGGATTTCCAGAAAAATTTCTGCTTCACTGACTAGACTAAAGCCTTTGACTGTGTGGATCACAACAAACTGTGGAATATTCTTAAAGAGATGAGAATGCCAGACCACCTTAGAACCAACGGTTAGAACTGGACATGGAACAACTAACTGGTTCCAAATTGTGAAAGGAGTACAACATGGCTGTATATTGTCATCCTTCTTATTTAACTTATGCAGAGTGTATCATGTGAAATGCCAGGATGGATGAATCCCAAGGTGGAGTCAACATTCCTGGGAGTTATATTAACAACCTCAGGTACATAGTTAATAGGCTAATGGCAGAAAGTAAAGAGGAACTGAAGAGCCTCTTGAGGAAGGTAAAAGACGAGTGAAAAAGCTGGCTTGAAATTCAACATTCAAAAAACTAAGATCATGGTATCTAGTCCCATCACTTCATGGCAAAGAGAAGGGGAAAGGGTTGAAGCAGTGACAGATTTTATTTTCTTGGGCTCCAAAATCACTGTGGACGGTGACTCCAGCCATGAAACTAAATGATGCTTGCTTACTGGAAGGAAAGCTATGACGAACCTAGACAGTGTATTGAAAAACAAAGACATCACTTTGCTGACAGAAGTTCGTATAGTCAAAGCCAAGGTTCTTCTAGTAGCATGTATGGGTATGAAAACTGGACCATAAAGAAGGCTGAGTCCTGAAGAATTGCTTCTTTTGAATTGTGCTGGAGAAGACTCCTGAGAGTCCCTTGGACAGTAAGGAGATCAAACCAGTCAATCCTAAAGGAAATCAACCCTGAAGAGTCATTGGAAGGACTGATGCTGAAGCTCCAGTACTTTGGCCACCTGTTGTGAAGAGCCAACTCATAGGAAGAGACCCTGATGCTGGGAAAGACTGAAGGCAAAAGAGAAGGGGGCAAAGGATGAGATGGTTAGAGCACATCAGCAATTCAATGAACATGAATTTAAGCAGACTCTGGGAACTAGCTGGAAAACACCACCATCAAAAACATTCATAGTACTTCAACACCAGAATACACCTTTCAAGCTCACATGAAACATTCACCGAGAGACCATATCCTGCAGCATAAAACACACTTCAATAAATTTAGAATAGAAATACAAAATATGTTCTTAGACCCCAATAAAATTATGCTAGAAATCAATACTGAAAACAATTGGTAACAAAGTAAGGTGAACCAGAATTTTAATTTATGAGATGCACCAAAATAGTGCTTAGTGGGAAAAATACAGCATTAAAAGCATATATTAGAAAAGATGATCTAAAATCAATACTCTTAAGCTTCCACTTTAATAAACTGGATTTAATTTACTCTTCTTTTTCTAAACTAAGTAGAAGAAATAAGTAATTAAAAACAGCAGAAATTCATAAAATTGTAATAGGAAGTCAAGACTGGTTCTTTGAAAATATCGGTAAAACCAATAAGGCTCTAGCCAGGCTAAGAAAAAAAAGAGATGACACGGATCACTAATCTCAGAAATCAAATAGGTGACAGGTAAAAGAATAATGAAAGAATATTACGAACTCCGTAGGCACCAAAATTTGATAACCCAAATGAAATAGACCAATTCCTTCAAAGACACAATCTGCCAATACACACACAAGAAAAAACAGTGGATCTGAAAGTCTTTTCTTAAGCAAAGTTGAATGATTAACAACCTTCCAAAACAGAAAGAACCAGGCCCAGATGAGTTCACTAGTGAATTCTACCAAATATTAAAGGAAGAAATTACACAAATTCTCTACCATTTCTTCCAGAAGATAGAAGCAGAAGGAATAATTTCTAATTAATTCTGAGGCCAGCATCACCCTCATACCAAAACCACACAAAGACATTACAAGAAAACTTAAAAATTAGTATTCCTTCATAAACACAGATATAAAAACCCACAACATAATATTAGAAAATCAAATCCAACAATGTATAAGAATTATACACTATGACCAAGTGGAATTTATTCCAGGTGTACAAGATTGATTCAACATTTAAAAATCAAGTAATGTAATCCATCACATAAAACAGGCTAAAAGAAAAACCATAAGGTCATATCAAAAGACAGAAAAATATTTGATAAAGTCCAACATTCATTTACAATAGAAACTAGCAGCAAACTAAAAACAAATAGGAACTTCCTCAACCTGATAAAGAACATCCACAGGAAATAGCATACTCAGCTAATATCATACTCAGTTGGTAAGAAAGCTTTCTCATTAAAGTCAGGAACAAGGCAAGGATGACCTCCTCTTACCACAGTTTGAAAATCAAACTGGGAAGTCCTAGCTTATGCCATGAGATAAGAAAAGGAAATAAAAAGCATAAAGACTGGGAAAAAAGACACAAAATTGCCTTTGTAAATGACGTGATCATCTATGTAGAAAATCCAAAAGAATCAACCAAAGAAATCCTGGAACTAACAATGATAGCAAGGCTACAGGATACAAAGTTAACATACAGAAGTCAGTTGCTTTCCTATATACCAGCAGTGAGCAATACTATTTACATTAGCACCTCAAAAATTACATACTGAGGTATAAATCTCACAAGATATGAGCAAAAGTGTGAACCTACATAAGTCAGATATAAATGGAGAGATTCCATGTCATGGATGAGAAGAGTCAGTAACGATGTCATTTTCCTGAACTTGATCCGTAGGTTCAATGCCTCCAATCAAAATCACAAAAAGCTATTTTGCGGGTATTGCCAAATTGATATATGGAAAGACAAAAGACAGGCAATAAGCAATATACTGAAGAAAAGTAAAGTCGAGACAATGACATTACCCAACTTCAAGAAATACTATAAAGTTACAGAAATCAAGACAGTGCAGTGATGGAAAAGGAATAGAGAAACAGAGAGTAAAATAGAGCCCAAAATAGTCCCACATAAATATAGTCAACTGATCTTTGACAAAGAAAGGCAACTCAGTGGAGACAGGATAGTCTTCAACAAATGATACTGGAACAAATGCAAAAAAATGAATCTAGACACAGACCGTATACCTTTTGCAAAAATTTAGTTCCAAAAATTTAGTTACACAGACATAAGTGTAAAAAGCAGAATCTTAAAACTTCTGTAAGGTAACATCAGAGAAAATGTAGAGACCTTGGGTTTGGCAATGACTTTCAGATACAACACCAAAAGTGCATTCCATTAAAAAAAAAAGTAAGCTGGACTTCAATAATTTAAAACTCTTATGCTCTATGAAAAACCTTTGTTAAGTGAAAATACAGAGTGGGAGAAAATATTTGCAAAACACATGATAAAGGACTTATACCCATATATAAAGAACTCTTAAATCTCAACAATAAATTAATAAATGGACAAAAGATCAGAATAGACACCTCACCAAAGAAGTTATACACATGGCAAATAAGTATGAAAAGATGCTAACAACATACATGTCATTAGGGAATGACAAAACAGTAACGAGATACCACTACACATCTATGAGAAAGGCTAACATCCAAAACACTAATAGCACCAATGCTGGTGAGAATGTAGAGCAACAAGAACTCACATTCATTGCTGGTAGGAATTCATACTTTGGAAAACACTTCGGCAGCTTCTTACAAAGGTAAATATAGGCTTATTGTACAGTCCAGCAATTGCACTCCTAGATATTTATCCAAATGAGTTGAAAACTTATTTTACACAAAAATCTGCACGTTTATAGCAACTTTATTCAGAATTACCAAAAACTGGAAACAGCCAAGATATTCTTCAACAGATCAGCAGATGAACTGTGGTACATTCACAGCAATAGAAAGAAATAAGCTATCAAGCCATTAAAAGACATAAAAGCACCTTAAATGCAAATTACTAAATAAAAGAAACCAATCTGGAAAGGGTACCAAGTAAACTTCCAAGCTATATGATATTCTGGAAAAGGCAAAACAGTGGATATGGTAAAAGGTCAGTGGTTGCCAGAGGCAGTGAACAGAAAGGGTCACCGAGGGGACTTGAGGGCGGTGAATCTATGCTGCGTGATATTGTAATAGTGAATACATGACAGTATGCATTTGTCACAACCCACAGAACTAAGCAACACAAACAGTAAACTAAGGACTTTTGTTATTAATAATGTATCAATATTGGCTTATCAATGATATGTTCCACACTTAATGCAAAAGGAGAATAATAAGGGAAGCTGGAGGGTGGGGGGGCAGACATGGGGAATTTTTGTACTTTCTGCTCAAATTTTTCTGTAAACATTTTCTAAACTGCTCTAAAAAATAAAGTATTACATTTTATTTTTAAAAATCATAACCAGCTTCAATTGCTTTTAAAAACGCTAAGTTCTTCCTAAGTTGCTGGTCACTATTATAAATTTGAGGAAAAACTAAACGTGCGTGTTGAAATTTTTAAGAAGTGATAGAAGAAAAAACTATCATCTGACTTACCTGTTGCTTCAAAGGTCAGCTTTATGGAATCCCAGGGTGTCTGTTCTTTGGATACAAGTCTGAAATGAGCAGGTTCTCTTGGAGAGACTTCTGGGGCAGGAAGATACCAGTTTTTCCTATTTGGAAAGGTAACTTCAATATTTAGCTTGCTTTATTGATTAACTTCTAGCTATAACTCATGGACACACTCAGAATATAATAAACACATAAACTATGATGGAAATGATGATAAACAATGTCAGTTTCTCTGAAGCTCAGGTTATTGTGCAGTAAAACCTTCCTGAAGAACAAGGATCCCAGGTGATCTGAGTTCCATTACCCATACTATTTCTTTTCCTCCATTCCTTCACTGCCAAACCATTAAACGTCTCAAAAATAAAACAATTAGAAACTTATGCTTAGCTGCTTGCTATCTGTTAGACCAGTTAAGAGGGCTACCCTTTGTAACTATTCAGGTTTCTAGAGGAAAGACATCCTAAATTTGAAAAAGCAGAATTTTGAAGGGGAAAAAAAAAAAACTTCCGAGTGCTTTATCTGTAGTAATATCGGAGCTTTTGTAGTGATATTAAAATAATATAAACAGCACTCAACTTCTACGTTAACCAGTTTAAATAACAGAGTACCGGCATAGTGATAAGAACTGAGAACACACTACCCCCATCTCAAAGGAGAGAAGTGATGAACCGACCTGATGAGGAAGTGCACGGGCAGATACCAGGGGAAGCCACAGAGCGGGGCGCTCTCCTCACAGTCAGCTCGGACGGTGTCGTTGATTTCAGAAATGTGAGGTGTTATGTGGGACATGCCGGTATAATCAAATGCATTGATCCACACTCCAGAGTCCCGTTTAACTACGTTTCCATCCAGACCATGAAACGTTCTGGTTATATGCTGAGAAGAACAAGCCTGATGAGGAAAGTACTGTTTGAACTCCTTCACCCACATCCCTGCCCCACATGAATGAAAATGACTAGGTAACAAAACCAAGAGATGAAGAGGCTACCGAGCAACGGGAACCCTCACATACCACTGGGCACCAACACTTCAGTAGACTGCTTAGCATCACCTAGTAAAGTCAGCATGCACATACCCTGCACGCCAGCAACTCCACTCCTGAGTGTGGACCTCAGAGAAACGTGAACAGGGTACAAGAGTGTTGGTTCCGCACTGTCTATATGAGCAAAAGCTGGATATAACCCAAATGTCCACTGATAGCAGAATAGACAAATAAATTAGGGTGTCATCCTAGAACAGAAGTCTATGCAGCAATGGAAAATAATGAACTACAGTGACAGAGTTCATCCTGGAACACGCTGACATGCTGCTGGGCAATAAGAAGCAAGTCAGCAAAGAGTTATTTTTGGTTTGGCTTTATCTACAAGAAGCTCAAAAACAGGCCAGACTTCTATGTTGCTTAGAGATTCATACATATGTGGCACAGTGATGGTTAACTGCAACCTTTAAGATAGTACTTTGGCGGGTGGTAAGGAGAGGAGCAAAAGACTTGGGATTAAGAAGGGAACACAAGGGTTTTCTAAGGTGCAACTAATGATCTTTTAAATTCAAGATGATTGTTTTACTGTTTCTTACAAATATACTGCTATATTTGTATTTCATACAAATTTTTTTTGAAAACCAACTATTTCAGATTTAAAACACGTGAACACTAAAACTCCTAAAAGGTCTTGTTTAAAAGAAATACACACACACACACACCCCTTTCCCTTTCAGTCTGTTACATGAAGCTAATTCATGTGCAAAGAAAAACAGAAATCACAGCTCACCACTAGATGACAGACCTGTGCCTAACAGAATGAAAAGGCACCTTGCTCCATCCTGAATAGCTCTATTGACAGCAGAAACCAGCCTGAAGAATATCAAATTCGAAAAGAAACAATACAAAGGGCAGGGGTAAACCAAAGCCCACAGGCCAAATGGCCTGCTACTATTTTTATAAATAAAGCTTTACTGGAACATGCATCTGCTGGTATTGTCCATGGCAGGTTTCACTCTGTAAAAACAGAGTGGCTAAAACAGAGACCAGCTGGCAGAGCCTGAAATATTACCTGGCCCTTTATAGGAAAGGTCTGCCAAGTTCTGAAACTGGGGAAGAAGAGAACCCCAAAACAAATCAGGACAGGAGTTTTTTTAAAATAATAAAAGTCTAGCTTCTCCTAATGATTACTGATATAACATCTGTCACATAAAAATGGATCACTGTTCTACAGGTCTGTAAACAAGGAATAGTTGGCTCTTCCTCAAAATCTCCTCTCTGATATTTAAGTTCAAACATATTATTATTAACTTACTCAAGTCTTTGAATAGTAATCAAGGTTATGACTCTTGGCTTTTCTGTTTGGCCACTCCATTCCCTCTTACAGGAAGACTGAAAATAAGATGACTTAAGTTCTTTTTCCTGTTTTTTACCAGCTCTAAAAAGTTTGCAGAAAAACCTGAAATCTAAGAAAGTTGCAAATCTCATTCTATTAATATCTAAGTTGTTATACTTTCACTATCCCGTATTACCTTGAATATTACCTAAGATCAGTCTTACTAGCATGTTAAAGAATCTGTTTCCTTTTGCCAGTGATAGGAGTTCATATTTTTACTCGGTCTGCAGACAGCTTTACAATCTGTATTTCTAACAGTTCATTACTTCATGATACATATATGTGCTCATTTTTCTAAGTACATTTTTGTAATCTGAACAGTAGTAAAAAACAAACAGGTTTCCTTTCAGTCCCTTGGGAGAAGGGTTTCTAGCTAATCAGAATGCCTCTTGATGGTCAATCTTTTCCTCAATGCCTTACACAAAATAGTCAAGGTACAATTAACAGGTCAACAGTAGAAAAGTCACTTATGTGTTTTGAGCTTTACTGTTGACCAGTGAAACTCAAAATACTATAAACCTTTCCTGTCCAGAATCTCAAATAGGTCACACAAAATCACTCTTACCTGAAGAAACACTCTCTTTGGCTTTGGACTGGCAGGGTTGGAGCTGTATGGGAAAAAAGTTCCACTGCAAACAAGGAGGAATGTAACTGTACATACCAAAGTTAAACTTAGCATTGTTCTTTTTGTGCTTTTGGCAAGGTAGATGAAGTTAATCTAAAAACACAAAAACAGAAAAATTAACCATTGGCAGGAAAGTGATTTTAGTGACTTTCTAACAGGCATTGTAGCAGATAATGAAGGACATGTATCAGCATGTGCTAACACACTCCAGCTTCCGGTACACCAAGCACTCCTTATAAGGGATTTCCATCACAAGTCGAGTCTAAATAAATGAGAGATGCCAGCACCATGGAGACAGTACGCAGACTTCTTGACAGGCAGCAAGGCAGTGAGGGGGAACAGGGAAACTGAGACAGGGGCTCTGCTCAGCCAAGAGCATGACAGCATGGTCATCTGTCAGTCAAACAGTGGCCGTATTTTATTTCTATCAATACTCTGCAGCCAACACTACAGCAGACAACTATTTAACTATATTAACAACTATTTAACTGTATTAACTATTTAACTGTTTAAAGACATCATGACATGTTTTTATTAAAGAAGTAACCTTTTATGCAAGTAAGCAGGCCTATTTCAAAACAAAACTCAAGTTCTATTCGTAATGCTTTCATAACATGCCCAGGTGCTAGATTCACCTAAATGAGCATTTAGATGCACCTTCAAGACTGCCCTGCATGTAAAGAAAAACTGCTATAAAAGTAGTTCTGCACCTGAAGCTTACACAGTATCATAAATCAACTTTTATCATAAATCATAAATCAACTTTTAGTTCAATTGCAAAAAAAACACAAAACTCTGAAAACTGAAACAAACTGGGAAAGTAAAAGTCATTCTGCTCTTTTCACTGCCAAGTTAACCAGAGCCGACACAAAACAGCAAATCTGAACTTGGGCAGGAAAACAAGTGGCTCAGTCTCAAGATGGGCATCCTGAAAGTCCTAAATATACTTATATTAGTTTCTTAATTGTAATGAAATCACTGAATTAAAGTTTTGGAGGACACACAACTCATAGAATATGTCCACAGATCCCCTAGGGGTTCTGAAGGAGCCACTCCAAGAAACAATGACCTAATCCCTGCTTCCCTTATCGGCTACCCTCCCAGGGTCAATAAGAAGAAAAGTGAAGAACATAAAGGTGAAAATGTGTTTTTGAGATGAAAATGAAAAATGATTCATACCAAGTATTCAACTATATGAAACTAATAAAAAGATTTTATATCTACAGTGTAACATATGCCATCCAGAGTAATCTCCAGCAAAGGAGTACTGGCCTTATATTTTCACACTGGAGCCAGAAAGGAAAAAAAGTACCCAAGGATTTAGGGTAGTGAGTTAGCAAAACACAATTTGTTACCCTGTCTGTCCCTCTTCCTCCTAAGAGTCACAATATTTAAAATGTGGCTCCTTAGAACAGTATCAAATATCCTGCCACGTAATGAGTTTCGCCTCCAGTGGAAGGCTGGTTAGGTTTTGGTACAGAGCTGTGTGGGTCCAGATAAAACCTCCCTGTGGTTCCTGCCATTCTCCACCCTGCTGCTACCTAGAGCTGTCCTACAGCTTCCGGTTAGGCTACAGTTCCCACATCCACATTCTCTCTTCTCCATGTTATGAGGCTCATCTTTTCTGCCTCTTGTGTCCACCTTCTGGAAGAGGTTTGGTAATGGTGATAAATGAAAAGGTGATCACAGAGGGAGAGAAGGAAGAAGAGAATGGCCTAAATAACAATGTATCTGGATCCCACTGTCTTAAATGTCACTATCTTTTGTCTTAAATATTATATCTGATACCACTCTAGGTTCCAAAATGGGTGTGAATTAAAATGAAGAGAAGCATGAGAAGGGACTATGCAATGTCCAATGTGTACTGGCTTTTTCTGTTTCTCTCTGACAGTTTCCTCCTGGTCCCACTCCTATCAGTAGTCTTATGTAATCAATATAACCACGACGGCCCCAGCACAAGATAACTCCCAGAAACCTGTTAACCAGTCATTTGACAGCAATTTAATTGCTTCCTAGCAAATATATTTAATAAATGCCCACAGACTAAGAGAAAAGCTCTCAGAAGTATGCATCGTGGTTCAGTTCTCCACTACCCAAGAAGAAAGGGCTCACTCTATTAAAAAGCCACTATCTATAACACAGGTACACAAAAATAAGAAGAGTGAAGAGAATGGTAACCCACAGCATCAAAGAGCAGCAGAGTTATCTCACAGTATGATGACAATCAAATTCAAGCTTAAAACACTCAAAGAGGCACTTTCCAAAAGCTTTCCAAATAAAATATAATTTAGAAGATAATAACTTTAATCTAGTTGCTTATGGTTTCAAAGATGTCCATGCTTTGGAGTCACTCCCAGTTTTCAGGGTTCTTTTTGTCCCTGGTTCATACTGAACTGATCTGAAATGCCCCACATTTTGATCATCTTTTATGAGTATTAAGAGCCTTCATTCATGGACGATGATTTAAATACATTTGGGGGTTGGAGGATCCAGTTCATAACTTCGCTTACTCTAGATTAAACCTAATCTCCATGTGATGACACTACAAACTCCTTTAATTCTCACAACAGCCAACCTATCAAGAAACACAGGGGATTTAAAGGCTTAACATTAAAACCAAGAGAAGTAAGCTTTGAAGAGGACAAAGAGCACTTCAGAATTTTCCATCCATCCCTGCAAATACCAGTAAAGACTTAACCATGGTATTAATAGTTAAACAGTTCTGTGTATAAGAATTACTCTACAGGGCTGCAGACACAGTCACATACACAGCTATTTATTGGTTATTTTGGAGAAGGAAATGGCAACCCACTCCAGTATTCTTCCCTGGAAAATCCCATGGGTAGCAGAACCTGGCTGGCTACAGGCCATGGGCTCACAAAGAGTCGGACACGACTTAGTGACTAAACAAGGACAAACTCTATTGAAGGGCCTTCCATGGATAGTGCTGACCATATCTCTGGTTCCTAGATCTTAGTCTTCACATGAGATGCCTTTTACTGTATCTGTGTGAAAAGTTCATTATTATCTCCATGGAGGAAAGAATTCTAAGAGTCCTAACTACTTTTTCTGTTTTGTCCCCTAGCCTCAAGTCTCAGAGTATAACTACAGGTATTCAAGTAAGACAGGTATGTCTTACTCTTAGGAACTGTAATGAAAAGAACCACAGAACAGGGGAGTGCTGACACCATGCTAAGGGCAGAGCTCCACCTGCAGCTTGCTCCAGCAGGGTGGGTGTTATCCACTCTGCACCATTTCTTCCCCCCTCTCCCCTCTGGAGGGTCCCTGGGAAGAGAAGCAGGCATGGCAGAGGCAGGACTCTCTCTCCGAGGCCGGAACACTGACAGAGCAAAACGACAAGGCCAGTGACACATCCTCATTACTCGGTAAATGAAGGCATGTTTGGGTGCTGTAAGCGTGTCACTCAAGGACACAAACTCCACCAAGGACCTTGGTGGTGCCAGCAGTGAGGCAGGTGAGTGACAGTGGAAAAGTCCTCATCAGAATCAATCTCCCTTCACTAGCTCTAACAGCAACAGTGAGACTACCACGTATTTATTAACACTTGCCTCTAGTCAGTAAGTTCAAAACACATTCTAAAAATTTACCACCAAACAATCTACCATTTCTCACTTGATATTCATTCCACACATTCACATTCAGGTGGTTTGAAAGCTATCTGAAAAGAAGTATCATCAGAGGATTTGGGAGCATGAGGAGGCAAAAATAACAACAAAACCCCCCTTCTACGTTTTCTGACCACACCGAACCTACAATATGCACCATTTCTTTTGCTTAAGAGTAGAAAGTAAGTGTTGGCCACTCGGTCGTGTCCAACTCTGCAACCCCATGGACTGCAGACCGCCAGGCTCTTCTGTCAATGGAATCCTCCAGCCAAGACTACTGGAGTGGGTTGCCATTTCCTTCTCCAGGGGGATCTTCCCGACTCAGGGGTTGAACCCAGATCTCTTGCATTTCAGCGGATTCTTTACAATCTGAGAAACCAGGGAAGCTCTTCAATGCTATTTCATAAGATCTAGCACGGTTAAACTCATCATATATTTATATATAAAATGAAGAAGGAAATTAAAAAAAAAAAAACTTTTTCCTTACAAAATAGGATGAGAGAATCATGGTACAACCAGCCAAAATAGAGGCCAGCACAACGTCAGGTGGAATTTCCGAACCACTCCTGCCAAGGATAGGGGTAAACATCTCAAATACGGCCCAGATGAGGTACAGTGCATACAGATATGGAATAAACATCCCCAAAAGGTAAAAGGCAATAAATTTTCCTCCAGCACCTAGAGAAAAAGAGAAAGAAAACATACATCTCTGAAATTCTCCAGTGAGATAATAGCTTTTTATAGCAACAGTGTATCTTTACACCTAACAAAAATTAGGTTAGCAGTGACTTGGCCTTTGGTACATGATATAAAGAGAGATAAAACACTTTGAGAGGGTAAAATACGAATAAGAAAACAAAAAATGTAATATATTACCATGTGTTCATTTATGTGAGAATGATGGATATAAGATAAACATCTGTGTGATCTTAAAACAGCAATAATTTTGAAAGCCTACCCAAGAAAATCAAATAAGGAGACAAGTCTCTGGAAGCCTTAATGTATTTTAAGGCATTTCCCATTTGTATCGCAACCAAAAATACCCTACCATGCTGCTTCAAGTCCTTTTGCACGCAAAGCTTTGTGAGCAGCGGGAATGCCACCCAGACAGCGCTAATAAATGCAGAGCAGAGCCCCCGGTAAGTGAGAGCTGTAAGGAACCCACAGTGTACAAACAACGAGACATCAAAAAATACTTCTCCCAGATACTGGCCACTGGCATTCTGAAAGAAAGAAAATACAGACAACTCATCAAGATCTTTTATTGCAGTATAATTTCCACTGCTCAGAAAAGCTACATTTTGTCTTGAGCAGGGTCTATCCTTTAGACTATGAAGTAAACACTGACAAAGCTACCTCCTCTCATGAAGCAATAAGTTCAAACTGCTGCACCGGAAAGGAGAATTTAACAAGTTGGGGTAAAAACATCATTACTCATATATAAGCTTTCCCTCCACTGGGCTGAGAGACCTTTGGAAATGTTCTAAAGTAAAAGAAAGCACTTCCCTTAAAACATTCACTTCTGTAAGCTCTTTTATTCATGAAATTTTCAAAGAATGTCAAGCAAACCAGAGAAACGACCCATATGAAGAACAGTATAAGCCGTTGCAGCGCCACCAACAGCACGCCTCAAGAACTGCAGGACCCTTAGAGCACAGGGCCACCGGGGGTCTGATCAACACTTTGAGCTTTGAAGTCTGCAAGTCTGAGGATTCCTGTGCAGCGCCTTGAGTTCTTCAGGAGAAAGTTGCCTTTGAACTTTATACATCTTAACTTCTACACCAGTGATTCTATTAGTGTAAACATGAAAGTTGTAATTTCGGTGCACAAACACCAAAACAGAAATACGTATGTTTAAGCTTTTCTCTCTCCTCTGCCTTCTCATTTCTATACAGTCCAGGGCATGTCTGTTAAAAGAGCCCCCTACTTCAAAAGTGCAAAAGAGTTTCAGTCACACGTGATTCAAAACAAACTAAAGGTCACTTGGCAAACCACCTTGGACAATGAAAGATAGGCTATTGTGGGTAAAATATTAGATGTTCAGCACTATTAATCAAGAGTCATGGTCTCTAAAAGGAATAAAATAGTTCTCAGGATTCAATTTGAAGCAGAATTCCACTCAGATATTTAAAAACAAAGACATCAACAATGAAGACTGTAATAACTGAAGATGTTTTACACTGTCCCCACTTTGTACCAAGTTCAAACATCCCTCAAATCTAGTTCCCTTCTCCCCACCTCTATCACCCTTTCCCCCTTCCAGTCCATTGGTAAGGTATACTGTTACCAGTGTGTTCCTGCTGAATCACAAATCTTCTCAATATCCTGCTTAGAAAGTTTAAACTGTGGCCCCAGTGATTTTTAGGGTTATGCTCTAACTATCAACCTTATCTTCACCACACTGAACTTTTTATTGCCTGTGACCCAAACACATCTTGTATATTCTGACCTTTGCCCATTAACCAGTTCCCTGGTACACTTCTACTCAGGCCACAAAAAACGCAGTTCAAATGTCACCACCCCCTTCATGAAGCCTTCCTGACTTCACAAGCAAAATTCATCTCTCCTGGCCCTACAATCCTACAGCACTGAAACTATCACTCTATTTCACTTCATCCCAGTACACTGAAATCACTGTGGTTTCCCCATCATTTCATCCCCCAACTGAGACTGTGACCTTCTCAAAGAAAAGACTATGTCCCCAATCTCTGTACCAGGCCCAAGGATGGGAACACACTGGGTACTCAAAGACAGTGTCAGACAAAAATGAAAATATTACTCTTTCTACTGTGCCTTCAGCCCAAAGTTTCATAATTGGACAACTGAAATTAGACAGAATTTTACTAAGCATTTCTGTCTTACCCTCTACTGTACCCCAATGCCATATCAACAACAGTCAGCCACACTCTGGTTACATCCCACTGCAGCAGGAATAAATACCTGAAATTGAGCCGCATCATGTAATTCTTTTGGAAACTGAAGTCATGAAGATATAAGTATTGGCTCAACCATAAACAGATGGCTAACCTCAGTGTATCTCTTCAGTAGGGCCTGCCACACAGAAGGGCTCCTTATACCATATGCCAACATGAACTGAACTGAGACCAAGCTTCAGTTCCTGAAGACATGCTAGTCAAAGTATGCTGTTTATAATCTTCCATGTCTCCAGTCTAATCCCCAGCAGGACAAACTGAAATAAACAGGTGTGCACATGCCGTACTGAAAATGACGGAAGAAAGAAAGGTTTTCCCTTTTATTATCTTAGAAAACCAGAACATGAGAGTGGCTTGCTCTCTAATTATTCAGTTTTTAGTCCTGCTCTCTCACAAACCTAATACTTAACTTTGTTTTTACCAAACAAATGTATACAGTTGAAACCATGACAATACGGCTATTTCTCTACGACAGCATATGTCATTTTGGAACTCTATCTCCCTTCCCTTTCTCTCTTCAGCAATGTGTCATTAACCCCCCAGACCACCTACCATGCCGACAGAATCTGTATCAACAACATACAGGTTAAAAGAAAAAGTAAAGAAGACTGAACATGTTCAGTGCAGCGTTAGATACAGTGCTCATCCAGGCAGAAAATAGTGCGTCAGTTCTGTGCCAGAGACCGCCTCAGCACAGGGGACAGTGAACATCATCCTCCCTGCCCTCAAGGAGCTGACAGTCCAGTGGAGAACAGAGCTGTTCAGATAAAAACAGCTGGTGGCCCCAGGGAAGGCTGGCAGATTAAACATCATGGTTACAAAAACTGCCACTGCCAGCAGAAGGAGAAGACTACGCTAACACACCTTGCTGTCACCAACACCCCAAACACTGTTTGCCAGCCATATAAACTCATTTATTTAAAGTCTGCAACCCTCAGAATAAGTTTTCCAGAAAGTCAACATGGTTCTGGGAGTCACTTTTCCATAACCATGCCAAACAATTTTTGGTGTCACAAAAGGTCAAACATAAGGAACCCCACCTGAGTTTGTCTTCAATCCTTGAAGGTGGCAGAAAGAAATCAATAAAAAAGCCCAACACTTACCACATAATAAAATCTTTTTGCAAGGGTATGTATGAATATTATTTTGGCTACAGCTGCAGTTCCATACAGACAAACGGAGACATAGAAGTGGTTATACCATGAGAGGGACTGTCCAATAAGGGAGACGAATACTGCTATAATGAGAACTGTAACCAAGCTGGTAAACCAGCTTATCAGAGTGATGCCAAGTCCACAGAAGAAGTCCTTTGTGTAGGTAGCAGCTGTCGGAGAGAAAACAAGAGTAGTGACCACTGTCTTTATCAGTTTCACAAGCAGTCAGTAAAATTAAAGGGGCAAACATTAAAACAAAATTTACCACTATAATTGAAAGTATTAAAATTTCCTAGGGGTAAGCTTTGTTAAACATTACAACAAGGAAAGTATCAGTGAATAAAATTCAAGTATGAACATTTGCTGAGAGTCTGTGGGTACAAAAGACCCAAAGAGGTAAGTCTTCAGGAAAAGTTCAGGTATATTCCTGACTGGGAAAGGGAGTCATCTTGGGTTTTATCACCTCTGGAATGCTTTGTGTATTGAAATAACAGCAAAAATGGAATGCAATGTTACATATAAAATCTTACCAAAAGAAACTAACACAGGAAGAGAAGCAGCATGAGAAAATAACCAGTGATTAAGGAATATTTAAATCGCTGCTAAATATCTGACCAGCTAACAGCACACACTAACTTAAGACTATAAAATAGTTCAAGCAGAAGCAGACCAATTTAACCACAGCAGTTCATTCATACTCCAGAACAGGGTGCTACTGGTCTGCAATGTGGACATTTTTTAAGGGGACTCTTCACTAAAAGTCAGTACTTACAAACCATTTTCTACAAGCTTTTGAAGTACTTCCATGAAGTGCATAAGTACATAAAAACTGCATGCCTCACCAAGACTAAAAGTATAACGAGCATATCAACCTGATACTCATTTAGAAATTTCTTCAGTTCAGTTGCCCAGCTGTATCCAACTCTTTGCAACCCCATGGACTGCAACATGCCAGACTTCCCTGTCCATCACCAACTCCCAGAGCTTGCTCAAACTCATGTCCACCAAGTCGGTAATGCCATCCAACCATCTGATGGATGTCGTTCCCTTCTCCTCCTGCCTTCAGTCTTCCGAAGCATCAGGGCCTTTTCCAGTGAGTCAGTTCTTCGCATCAGGTGGTCAAAATATTGAAGTTTCAGCTTCAACATCAGTCCTTCCAATGAATATTCAGGACTCATTTCCTTTAGGATTGACTAGTTTGATCTTGCACAATCCAAGGCACTCAACAGAAGAATCTTCTCCAACACCATAGTTCAAAAGCATCAGTTCTTCGCTGCTCAGCTTTCTTTATGGTCCAACTCTCACATCCATACATGACTACTGGAAAAACCACAGCTTTGACTAGATGGACCTTTGTCAGCAAAGGAATGTCTCTTCTTTTTAATATGATGTCTAGCTTTGTCATAGCTTTCTTCCAGGGAGCAGGCATCTTTTAATTGCACAGCTGCAGTCACCACCTGAGTGATTTTGGAGCCCAAGAAAATAAAGTCTGTCACTGATCCATCGTTTCCCCATCTATTTGCCATGAATGATGGGACCAAATGCCAGGATCTTGGTTCTTTGAATGTATTTCTCCCAGAAATCTTGATTTCAGCTTGTGCTTCATCCAGCCCAGCATTTCGCATGATATACTCTTCATATAAGTTAAATGATCAGGGTGACAATATACAGCCTTGACATACTCTTTTCCCAACTTGCAACCACTCTGTTGTTCCATGTCTGGTTCTAACTGTTGCTTCTTGATGTGCATACAGATTTCTCAGGAGGCAGGTCAGGTTGGCAGAGGTAGTCCCATCTCCTGAAGGATTTTTCCACAATCTGTTGTGATCCACACAGTCAAAGGCTTTGGTGGTAGTCAATAAAGCAGAAGTAGATGTTTTTCTGGAACTCTCTTGCTTTTTCTATCCAACAGATACTGGCAATTTGATCTCTGGTTCCTCTGCCTTTTCTAAATCCAGCCTGAACATCTGGAAATTCTCAGTTCATATACTGTTGAAGCCTCACTTGGAGAATTCTGAGCATTACTTTCCTAGCGTGTGAGATGAGTGCAATTGTGCAGTAGTTTGAACAGTCTTTAGCATTGCCTTTCTTTAGGATTAGAATGAAAACTGACCTTTTCCAGTCCTGTGGCCACTGCTGCGTTTTCCAAATTTCCTGGCATACTGAGTGCAGCACTTTCACAGCATCATCTTTTAGGATCTGAAATGGCTCAACTGGAATTCCATCACCTCCATTAGCTTTGTTCGTAGTTATGCTTCCTAAAGCCGACTTGACTTCAATTCCAGGATATCTGGCTCTAGGTGAGTGGTCACACCATCGTGGTTATCTAGGTCATTAAGATCTTTTTTGTATAGTTCTTCTGCATATTCTTGCCACCTCTTCTTAATATTTTCTGCTTCTGTTAGGTCCATACCATTTCTGTCCTTTATGTAAGAAATTTCTTACAACAGTGTAAATCAAATGGTATTTTTCTTAAGATTTGTAACTTCTTGGAAAGATACAAGAAAAGTGCCAAAAAACTTTAGGTAAATTCTATACCCATCCAGTATTGTAGTTTTAGAGGAAAACACTTACTTTTATATTTGGGATGCAGTAATTTCCTTCCCAGGTATAAAACAACAGCCATTACCACCATATAGTTAATTATTGAGCCAACACGAGATGGGTAGGCGATGACAAACAGGCCAAGCACATCAAAGAAGACCATGTTTCCATGTTGATACTTAGAAGAAGAAGCCAACATATCAGATGTAGCTAGATATTTAAGAACTGCTAAAATGTTGTCACCTATTAGTAAAAAGAAATGAGAGGTAACAAAGTTGAATAAACCATCCACTGTTGGAGTCAAGGAGTACCTAGAAAGACCATGAACAGACACAGCTCCCTCCCATCCTACTGCTCTCCAGGTTTTCTTGCTAAATCTCTCTTATAAGGTCCATGCCCTCTATGCTGTTTCTTCTCTGCTCTGAAGCTCAGTGACCTGGTCTTCATCCTTTCTCTTCTGTTTATTATAGCTACTCCCTGATCAACTGTACCCTTGCTGGTGACAAACCTAACAGCTATTTCTCAGTCTCTATTCATTTAACATATACTTAATGTAGCGGACACTGCTCTGACATAGAAATTCAGTGGGGAACCAAGAACCTCAAGAAGCTCACAGACACCAAACAAGTTATTACACACGTATTAAGAATTAATAAGGACTTCCCTGATGGCCCAGTGGTTAAGAATCTACCTTGCAATGCAGGGCATGCAGGTTCAACCCCTGTTCAGGGAACTGAGGTCGCACATGCCATGGGGCAACTAAGTCCTCGTGCCGCAACTACTCTCCTGAGTCCACGCTCTGGAGCCTGCGCCCACAACTGGGGAAGCCTGCATGCCCCAGTCAAAGACCCCTGTGTGCCACAACTGAGAGCCAATGCAGCCGAATAAATAAATATTTAAAAAAGAAAAGGAACATCAATAATATCTGAATTAAAAAAAGAAATAGTATGGAGAAAGTGCCCTAAGAACATATCAGGGAGACTAGTGGAGTTGGAGAAATCAAGGAAGCACCTGAGGAAGTGAATTTCTAGCTAAAGGATGGAGAGGAGCTATGATGGGGGAGAGATTTTGTTTGGAGACCTATGTAGATAAAGGCCCCGAGGAGGGGAAAAGTGTCCAGAATGACGAATGAGAGTCTTTTGCAATGAAGCTGGAGAGCGGCCCGAGTCATTGTGAGGCAGAAGCTGGCACCTCAGAGGCCGCCGTAAGTATCTGTTACATCAATCAGTGACTGAGTTTAAACTGCAATGAAGAATTATAAGAAGCTCTGAATGGTTGGCGTATCTTACTGATGCTCATTCCATCCTGGACTTTCTCTTCTTTTCACTGAAGACACCACACTGTCTCACTGTGGGATTTCTTTCATTGGCTCTCCTGCCGCCTTCAAATGTGTCTTCCCCTAAGCTCCGGTTTGTTTCACTCTTCCAAAAACCATTTCCATTTTCCAGACTTCTGTGGTTTTGACTATGCCTTTAATTTCCAAACCCAGTTACCCAGTTCTGCCATGGTCTCTAATGGCGTATCTACATTTTCATCTTGTCAGTTCACAGACATCCTCTGTCTCATGTCTGACAGAGTTCACAGCCTCTTTCCCCTCCTCACTACTGCTCTGAGCAAAAGCCACCTTCCCATGTCCAGTTATGGTCAGTGGTGTCATCTCTCCCCAGCCAGCCAGGCTTTACCCTCTGAGGTCTTCTTTACTGTCATTCATCTGATTCATCCCTGCTATGTAACCTGTCAAGTCTTGCTGAGTTTTCATTCAAAATGTACCTAGTTTTCCACCCTTGCTTTCATGTCTATCTTTTGCCAGCACTACAGTCTAGGTCCTCCGTATTCCACACTAAAATCACTGTTGGCACAGCCCTGACTCTTGGCTCTGTCCCCTTCTCTCCCATACACTCCATACTGCATCACCAGACTGACAGCATTTTAAACCATCATTCATTCACAAATGCAGGCCTTTAATGACTTCTTATTCCTACAGCATCCATTTGCTGACTCTTAAAGCCATCTACAGCTTTCTCTACCTCCATACACCTCTGCCTCATTTCCCTCTATGTCTGAAAAATGCAGCCTCCATTCACACTGCAGTCTAACCGTCCTCGCCACAAACGATCCCTACTCATGCAGAACTCTTACTAGAACAGGCTCTTTCCCACTGCCAAATCCTAACTCTTTGCAAGGCTCAGCCTCAGACTCACCTCCCCTGACTACTACTGATGTCTCTGGAAAACATTTTAACTCCTCTGTCCTATATAACTGGCTCCCCTGTCCTCACCACCCAACCTTGGATCAATGTAACTTTTCCATACCTGGGCAAGTTGCCCAAACATGTGCTTGTGCCACCTCCAGTGTACAGCTTCTGTTTTGGCTACACTCTCAGTACTCAGCAATGTGTGCATAACCCTAGGTCAGCTCCCTTTCAGATTCCTCATAATGAACAGTCTTACGTTCTTAACTGCTAAACTAGACTTCGAGGCTAAAATTCAAAGCCTCATCCAACTCCAAAGCCCCACTTCATTCACACCATACACTGCCTCCCTAATGCACAGGACACAGAGTCATAGGCTCACAGGTCATCCATAATATCCCATCTTAATATCAAAAGTCTAAATGAGAATACCAACCTGCTCTCTGAATGGAATCTGTTAGAATTCTGTCCGCTGTATCATACTTGGTGTGATAAATGTATCCATTCTCAATAAAAGCTAAGTCTATTCCTAAGACATACAGGGAAAAAAAAAAAAGTCATTTTACTTTAAAGATCTACCTCAATTTAAGGCCTCTTTGTTTAATGTATTAAATTCCTGAAAGACATCAGAGCAGTACCATGACTGCTTTGTCACATTCTTGAAGGAATGATGAAATTCTCACAGAACCTATAGCTGTGATACATAATTCCATATATAATGACTGGGGCATTACAAGTCACACAGCAAGGAGTAGGAATACTGGCATGGGAGGCCATGTAGATGGCCATCTACATCCTTCCCAGGCCAGAGCCAAACTTTCATCTTAAACAAGCTGTGCAAGTCCCCAGGGCAGCTGGCAAAGCAAGGTAACGATGAAAAAGACCCCGAAGGGTCTGTGACCATCTTTTGGGAATGAAGCGCTAAACAGCTCTCCCCTGTTCTTCTGTCACACTGTGGGCCAAGATGACATGTGCTAGAAAAAGGAAGCATTTAAAGTAAGTTGGGGGAAAAAAAAAATAAAGTAAACTGGAGTTTAAAAGAAAAGGAGATGACCAGGAGCTCTCTTTCAGGGAGTCAGAATATACAGTTCTCACATAAAAATCTGCTCTCAGAAAACGCTGCTTACTCACAAACTTCCAAAAAGACTTGTTTTTGATTAATCATTGTCACAGAAAAGTCCATAACAATTGACAATACCCGGAATGTTCCCAAAATCCCTGTAGATCCGGAAGTCAGTATCTGAAGGAATGATTCCACTCTGGAAAACCTCCTGAGCCACCACTGAAGCAAATGGGTGTTTAGCTGCTGAGACATAAGCTTGGACCAGCCAAGGATTTTCAGGACCTGAAATGAAACGTGACAACAATATGAGGCTAATCTGGATTTTTTTTTTTTAACATACATAAAATAGTTACTATGGTGATTTGGGGAGACAGGTCAAGAGTTTTGTTTTTTTAATCCTCTTTTCTGTATGTTTCAACATTTCTTTGATAAATGTGTATGACTTTTTTAAATGAAAAATAACCTTGTGGAAAACAAAATTTCTTTTAATAGTAACAGCACTATAAAAAGTTTAAGTTTAAAAATGAAAAACCACTCATAAGCCCATCATCCAAAGATAACTATTATCATTTTTATGTCTTCGACTTATGTATGACTTATAAATGTATGTGTGTACACGGATGTACTGATAGGGTATGTATAATCTTGACATTTCTCTTTCATTTAACATTGTACTAAACACACTCCTATGTTGCCAGTTATTACAATGATTATTTTAGATATTGCAATGATCATGGTCCAGTGGTTAAGAATCCACCTTTCAATGCAGGAGACGCAGGTTCAATTCCTGGTCAAGGAACTGAGCTCCCACGTGCTGCAGGGCATCTAAGCCCACACACTTCAGCTAGAGAGCCTGCACGCTGCAGTGAAAAGATGCTGCCTGCCACAACGAAGACCCGACGCAGCCAGATAATTTTTAAATGATCATTTTAATAACTGCATAATTACTGAATATATCATAAAGTTCCTTATTATTACATATAACTTTTATCATTATTAATAATTCCACATTAACATCTCCATGCATATACAGTTTTCAAATATAGGAGTTTTTTCTTTTGGATAGCAAGATAAATTATATTACTGTCCCCAATTATTCACTCCTCCCTCTCACATAACTTACAATGCCTCCTGTGGAAGCAGCACATACATGAATTCCTTCAGCCAACTGACTGTGAATGGGAGAGACATGGACCCTGAAGAGCCATCATATGGTCCACCTCTCCCATTAACTTTGGCCCTGAGATCGCTATGTCCCTGATGGGGGCTTCTTCAGCCTGGATCCCAGGATGAATAAGATGCATGGAACATAATAACCAGGGGATGTAGCTGCAGTTACCCAAGAACCAGAATGTAACATGAGCAACAAATAAACCTTTGCTGCTGTAATCCACTGAGATTCAGGGGTTGTATATTACAACTAAATTTAGCAAAAAGTTATCCGATGTTGACTGATCAAGTAACTCCCTTTCAGAGAATCCAAGAATATTAACATTTTTACAACTTTATAACCAGATAATCAATTTGCTTTCCTACAGAAAAAAAAAAACAAACCATAAATGGTGGAGGATAGAAGGGGTGAAAAAACACTACAGAATCAGATATCTAGGTGACCCAGATACTGGAGTTACCAGGCATGAATTTTAAAATAAATATTATTAATTATTCATAAACACAGATGATAGCAATGGTATCACTAGACAAGTACAAACCATTAACAGAGTGTGCCAAATAGAAACCCTAGAACTGAAAACAATAACTGCTGTTAAGAATTTTAATACATATACAGCTTAATACAAAGGTAAAAACAGCAGAAGAAAAAAATGATAGATCCAGAGAATTAAAGCACAAAAGGAAACAGGAATAGAAAATTCAAAAATGCTTATAAGACATATGGGACCAAAGTCTGTTCTGTACATCTGTGTCTCTTTTTCTGTTTTGCATATAGGGTTATCGTTACCATCTTTTTAAATTCCATATATATGTGTTAGTATACTGTATTGGTCTTTATCTTTCTGACTTACTTCGCTCTGTATGATGGGCTCCAGTTTCATCCATCTCATTAGAACTGATTCAAATGAATTCTTTTTAATGGCTGAGTAATATTCCATTGTGTATATGTACCATAGCTTCCTCTGTGGGAGAAGGTGAGGGTGGGATGTTCTGAGAGAATAGCACTGAAACAAGTATACTATCAAGGGTGAAACAGATCGCCAGCCCAGGTTGGATGCATGAGACAAGTGCTCAGGGCTGGTGCACTGGGAAGACCCAGAGGGATGGGATGGGGAGGGATGTGGGAGGGCGGATTGGGATGGGGAACACATGTAAATCCATGGCTGATTCATGTCAATGTACGGCAAAAACCACTACAATACTGTAAAGTAATTAGCCTCCAACTAATAAAAATAAATGAAAAAAAAAATACATATGGGATAGAGTGAAAAGGTCTAACATGAGTAACTGGAATCCCAGAGGAAGGAGAGAATGGGAATTGAAGCAACATTTAAAAGAAGTTAAGGCCAATAATTTCTGAAAACTTACAGGAAACACCAAGCTATGAATTCAAAAGGCCCTAGAAAGTCCAAACAAGATAAACAAAAGAAAAACATACTCAGCATCAGGTCTTTGCTTTTGAATACCATTTTCCACTAAAAGAACCAGTTCTCCCTAGAGATATGCTGAATTCCAAAACTGAGGCTAGGAAAATACTCAAAAGTGGGAACATCTTGTGCCAGAAACGAAGTGCTCAAACACGTCAGAGACGTGTCAAAAGGACAAGCACCAGCTGAAGGGCTGCCATTGGCCTGAACTGGATCAAGTCATACATTAAAATGGTTACAACAGAATATAAAATCCATAAAATAAAACACATGAAAAACACTGAAATAAACACACACACATAAGGGAGAAGCCTTACAAGGAGCTGAGAAGAAAAGTGAAAGGCAAAGAAGAAAAGGAAAGATATACGAACTGAATGCAGAGTTCCAGAGAATAGCAAGGAGAAATAAGAAAGCTGCCTTAAGTGAACAGTGCAAAGAAATAGAGGAAAACAACAGAATGGGAAAGACTACAGATCCCATCAAGAAAACTAGAGATGCCAAGGGAACATTTCATGTAAAGATAGGCATGATAAAGGACAGAAATGGCAAGGACCTAACAGAAGCAGAGGACATGGGAAGAATAAACAGAAGAACTACCTAAAAAGTCTTAATGACACAGATAAACACAATGGTGTGGTTACTCACCTAAAGCTGGACATCCTGAAGTATGAAGTCAAGTGGGCCTTAGAAAGCATTACTACATATAAAGCTACTGGAGGTAGTGGAATTCCAACTGAGCTAAATAAAATCCTAAAAGATGATGCTGTTAAAGTGCCGCACTCAACAAGTTAGCAAATTTGGAAAACTCGGCAGTGGCCACAGGACTGGAAAAGGTCAGTTTTCATTCCAAGAAGAGCAATGCCAAAAAATGTTCAAACTACCACACAATTGCACTCATTTCATATGCTAGCAAAGTAATGCTCAAAATCCTTCAAGCTGGGTTTCAACAGTACATAAACTGAGAACTTCTAGATGTACAAGCTGGATTTAGAAAAGGTAGAGGAGCCAGAGATCAAATTGCAACATCCATCGGATCATAGAAAAAGCAAGGGAATACAAAAAGACATCTACTTCTGCTTCACTCACTACGCCAAAGCCTTTGCCTGTGTAGATCACAACAAACTGTGGAAAATTCTGAAAGAAATGGGAATACAAGACCACCTGACCTGCCTCTTGAGAAACCTGTATGCAGGTCAGGAAGCAACAGTTAGAACTGGACATGGAACAACAGACCGGTTCCAAATAGGAAAAGGAGTAAATCAAGGCTGTATATTGTCACCCTGCTTATTTAACTTACATGCAGAGTACATCATGAGAAAGGCTGGGCTGGAGGAAGCACAAGCCGGAATCAAGATTGCCAGGAGAAATATCAATAACCTCAGATATGCAGATGACACCACCCTTATGGCAGAAAGTGAAAAGCAACTAAAGAGCCTCTTGATGACAGTGAAAGAGGAGAGTGAAAAAGCTGGCTTAAAGCTCAACATTCAGAAAACTAAGATCATGGCATCTGGTCCCATCACTTCATGGCAAATAGATGGGGAACCAGTGGAAACAGTGTCAGACTTTATTTTGGGGGGCTCCAAAATCACTGCAGATGGTGATTGCAGCCATGAAATTAAAAGACGCTTACTCCTTGGAAGGAAAGTTATGACCAACCTAGACAGCACATTAAAAAGCAGAGACATTACTTTGCCAACAAAGGTCCATCTAGTCAAGGCTATGGTTTTTCCAGTGGTCATGTATGGATGTGAGAGTTGGACTATAAACAAAGCTGAGTGCCGAAGAACTGATGCTTTTGAACTGTGGTGTTGGAGAAGACTCTTGAGAGCCCCTTGGACTGCAAGGAGATCCAACCAGTCCATCCTAAAGGAGATCAGTCCTGGGTATTCACTGGAAGGACTAATGTTGAAGCTGAAACTCCAATACTTTGGCCACCTGATGCGAAGAGATGACTCATTTGAAGAGACCCTGATGCTGGGAAAGATTGAGGGCAAGAGAAGGGGATGACAAAGGATAAGATGGTTGGACGGCATCAATGACTCAATGGACATGGGTTTGGGTGGACTCCGGGAGTTGGTGATGGACAGGGAGGCCTGGCATGCTGCGGTTCATGGGGTCGCAAAGAGTCGGACACGACTGAGCGACTGAACTGAACTGAACCACTCTAATGGCAGAAAGCAAAGAGAAACTAAAGAGCCTCTTAAATAGTACGAAAAAGAAGAGTGGAAAAAGCCAGCTTCAAACAAAACATCAAACAATGAAGATCATGGCATCTGGTCCTGTCACTTCATGGCAAATAGATGGGGGACAAAGTAAAAATAGTGGCAGATTTTATTTTCTTTGGATCCAAAATCAGTGTGGACAGTGACTGCAGTCAGGAAATTAAAAAGAGGCTTGCTCCTTGGAAGAAGAGCTATGAAAAACCCAGATAGTGTATTAAAAAGAGACATTACTTTGCCAACAAAGGTCCGTAAAGTCAAAGCTATGCTTTTCCCAGTAGTCATATATGATGTGAAAGTTGGACCATAAGAAGGCTGAGCACCAAAGAATTGATACATTCAATTGTGAAGCTGGAGAAGACTCTTCAGAGTCCCTTGGACAGCATGGAGATCAAACCAATCAATCCTCAAGGAAATCAACTCTGAATATTCACTAGAAGGACTGATGCTGAAGCTGAAA